TAATGCTTGCAGGCGAAAGATTTGGTCAAAAAGCTTTGCGGTGCAAAATTTTGCGTCTGTAAGTAAAACACTTTCCTCTTGAGAAATGATAAGGTTTGTTAGAAATATCAATTTTCTGTGGAAAGCTAATGTTATTGTAATATGATTGTTAATTTGAAATTTTTATAGATAAAAATATATGATAGATAAATAGACAAAAATATAAAATCACTTAATTTCTATAAAATCACGTAATTATATATAGTTTTATACGTATTTGAAAAAAATTTATTCGGTATATTACAGTATATAAGTTTATTTATATATATATATATTTTATCCAGAAATGTCAAATTGAACCAATAGATCACATAAAACATAGACCATTAGATAATTTTATAAATGATTGAATTTTAATTTATTGAATAAGTCCGATTTGAATTTTATGGAGCTTTTATTTGCTTTTATTTATGAATTTTAACAATCTTTATTTTAATACAGCCATATTTAAAACTTAATAAACGTTAGAACTTGATTACTCAAGAGTTATGCATTTAACTTTAGGAAGATTAGATACTTTGCTTTCCAAGCATGAAGAAAGTTTAACTTGAAGTAAAATCAACGTTAATAAAATATTACTCTTATATATAAGAGATTGTTATTTTCTATTATGACATAAAGAACGTATAAAGTTTCACGCAATTTTATAAGTCTTATAAATTTTAATAATCTTCGTAGAAATAAGTGAAGAATGAATACATCTGTCAATTCATCAACAAATACGTATTTACAGCTCTAAAATTATATTCGTCGTTTGATATTAAATATTATTAAATTAAAGTTTTTAAAGTTATTCAAATATAATCTTATAGCGTAATGTAGTTAAATATGCAATTTAAGTATTTCGAAATTAGAAAATTTTCATGTTCATCAGGAAGCAATTTGCTAAATGTCATTTTTTCTTTATGACGGCGTTATGGATTTCGCATGCGATCCTGATCTGAGGCCGATCTAAACTAATCGACGACCAACAGTGGTCTCAGGTCACCGGGCTTTCATCGATTACCTTTATTGCGTTACACGTTGCGCCAACCATGGCAGTAATGCCATTCGATTATCCGTGTGCTTCTGACACTCCGCGTAAATTAAAATCCAGTGTGTTCCGGTTCCGCCCACTCCGACGACTCGGAGATGCAAGTGGGAATTGGGTCAGAGGGAAACAAAAACCCGATGTTCTGTCTTCTTCGTGTCTGCAGGAGGCGCGATCGATCGGCGGCCGAATGCGTGGGACCGACCAATCAACGTTGGAACATTTTTTTTTTATTGATACTAGCTTTTTTATTTGAAGCTCGCGCTGTAGTGCCACTGCAAAACTAATGGAATCTAGATTTCTTCTAAAGGCACTTCCACGTATATATCCGTATAGTCGAAAGATCAAAAATCGAGATTTGGTGGTAATAAATAAAATCGTATTCCTTTTTGTTACCATCGAACGTATTTGATCGAAATCATATAAATGTATTTCATAAAAGCTTTAAAATTCTTTTTACACATGCCACAACGTTTGAATAAAATGCAACGCATTATTATACGACGAAAAATATTTTATGCGCAATTACATGATATTAAAATTTGTAATATTATTAAAGACAATTAATCTTTGTATAAATAATTTAGATAAACATATTTTCATATAAAAATCCACAAGAGAATAGCAAGTACATCAACTTCAGACAAAACTTTTGGTTGACTGCCCGCAGGACAGACGTCCAATTTTCGTATATAGGCCAAGGAGATGCTTTCTCTTGCTTTTGTGCCCAACGGCGACCTCCTCGGCGACTTTTGAAAGCGCCCGAACATCCGAACGGTCCAATTATTTTTCATCATTATCTGTACACTGCCTTTCCTCGCGGACATTCGATGTCCTTAGAGTTTGCTTGCCTCCTTATATAACCGTGAGGAGAAAACCAACCGGACTTACGAAGTCCGTTGAAATTCGTTGGCTTTGTCGCGTTTCCTATTGTACAATACAAAAGGACGGTCCACTAACTGGATTTCAGTGCACTCTTTGGAACTGCACTCTCACTTTTTCTTTCTTTCTCCTTCTCTTTCGTCTGAGAACACAAAGGTGCAACTCATCACACATTACATAACTTGATTAGTCGCGATCAGTTACGTTGAAAGGAAATATATCAAACCTAAACAAATAAGGGTGTCAGTAGCAGTAGCAATGCTAATAATGTATTAATTTTGTAACATCAGATTCACAGAAAATTGCTGTTGAAGTATATACAAGATCTCAGACCTAACAATTGTTAATGGTAAACCCTTAAATATTTTGAGACTCTAATGTGAAAACGCTAAAATTAAGATAATTTTTAAATTAGAAGTATTTAAATATTAAATTGTCAAGAATTTGCACGCTTAGACAAAAGTTGTCAAAATTATCATCATATAAAATGTATTAAAATGAATTATGATCTTTACATCTTCATTGTGAGTTAACGCATATTGATCCTCTTCAGAGGCACGAATAAAAAGTAAATGTATCATCTAATACTTTGTGAAAATAAAAAAAAAAATAGTTCCAAAAGATTATAAGTCTGAGATCTTGTATATGCATATAAGATACAGACAATTGCATGAGATACTGCATACCGTTGCGCGGTAAAAAGTTAAACTGAGACTCGTGAGAATCGCGGGAACTACGATGGTTTGTGTTTAAAACGTTGGCATGGCACATCTTCTCTCGGCCGATGAAAAGAGTTTATCGCGAACTGTGCAAAAGACCGTGAAGCTCGCTATCTCCACGCTTGCAATCCGAGAATACGAGCGAAATGCGAGACGCCGAGGTTCTCCAGCCTCGCATAGCGACAAGACCGAGGGAAGCATCTCACTTCAGAGTAAAGAAAGAAGATACGAGAGCCGCTTTGGTGACACAGATAACACACACGACGCAACCCCATCTTAGAGTCGCGTGCAAGGGAGGGGATAGGAATCTCTGGCGGTCGACGTTGTTTCTTAGCAAACTAACTTCATTAGAACATCAAAGATGTCTGGGCGGGGCATCAGAGATAGTAGCAGAGATCAGAGGGATCAAAAAAAAGCAGAGAGAGAGAGAGAGAGAGAGAGAGAGAGAGAGAGAGAAGTA